ATAATGTGTCAGCATTAAGTCAGATACGAAAGCTTCCTAATGAGCCTAAACGCTTCCTCACATTTGGATGACCAAACCCAGGGTCGATTTTTACCCAGTAAATCATTCACTGAACCGAAAAGCGATGCATTTCAGGAATAAATGCACTGTAATAACTTATCATGTTCAGGAACAATTGCAGAGTAAGCATATCGTGTGGTTCAGGTAATTACTCGATGAGGCGCATCTTTGCAATATCAGGTTTTCACCCGTCACGTTCGACAATAATACAAGCAATGTATTTCCGTTGAGACATAAACAAATAACATTTATCAGCTCTCGGAGTCAAAGCCTGTTACCCTAGGCGTTCTAATACCTGTAAGTGGTGGCAGACATGATGGGTTCTGTCCGCTGATGCGATGATAATATCATGCAAGTATGCAAAAACCAATGGTTTGACCGCTAGCATAGCATCCATCAGTTGTTAAAAGAGTCCCAGAGCAGCGTTCACGCCAAACGATAGCCGATTGTAGTGGTACAGACCACGGTGAGTGTTAATTGTAAGAAGGTGCCCTGCGTCATGATCGATTATTACTTGAAGATGGACATCCGAGGGATCAATCTTTGATAAAATGCAGTTGCCATTGATTTTGGCGAAAAGATCCCCGGGTAGTGGCAGCAGGTATTGATGGAGATTCGGTGCTGCGTTCAGGCCGGTTGAATAATCTTCACATAGGCGAATGGTTCCGTTTGCCTTTTTCACTATCACTATGGGCGCTGCCCAGTCTGAGTATTCAACTTTAGAAATCATCCCCGATTGCTCCAGCCGATCCAATTCATTGTCAACTAACTTAAGAGACGCATACGGCACCGATCTTTTGGGGTCGAAAAACAGACTACGTCATCTTTTACTTACCGAGATGTCGTGAACTTGGTGCAACAGCCAAGTGTTAGGTTGAATACTTCTGGGAATTGCTTGTCCGTATCGTCAACGATTGTAGAATTCTGCGCTGCGTAGCACTGTGATGACATATCAAGACCGGATAGACTTTCCTCGATTTGATCGTACACATAGTCAAGAGGAACGATCCACAGATTCAACGCGGTTATCCAACCAATACCAAGTATGTTTAATCCCGGGTTGTCAGAAACGTGACAGATGCCGATTCGCTTATCTGTAAACATATTCACAGGAATAGGATATTGTTCGATGCACTCCTTGCCGTATTTTCCGCATTACACAGTATCGGTCTACTGATAGCTGATCATGTAGGGCTGGCGATGATGCTAATGTCAGATGCGGTATCAAGTTGTAGGCGCACTGAGTGATCATTAATAGTGACAGTGATAAACTTAAGAAGTGAAAGAAATCCTTCCTGTGCAGTTGCGTAAACCACATTGGACATCCATTTGATTCCGCGTTGTTGAAACGGATTGGATTGGTTCCCACGACGCGGACGTCGTGCGGTTGATGAGCAATGCGTTTCTTTATGGCCTTTTTTGTGGCAGATGGTGCATTTGTGCTTGGTGAACGGACAGTTTCTGAAAAAGTGCCACTCACCACAATTCCAACAAACACGTGGTGGTATCTGTCGTGCGGTGTATAGACATATGTCGGTGTTCGGGCAGAAATTGAAGCAATCATCGCGATCTCTGACATCAGTTATCTCGACTACAACACATGTGAGTCACTTTGTAAGTTGACCAGACGCTGATACTGCAGTGACGTCCTAAATGATGAAATCTGGAGAGCAGCTTGGATAACAGACTTCTGATTTCTACATCAGCTGCAGAGGTCAAGCCAGATACCAAAATGAGTGATTTGAACGGATCATTTGCAAGTTGTTTGAGCTTGAAACGTTCACATGAATGGTCCACCCCGCCCGCGTAGGAAACATTATCCTCGGATTGATTCCTAGCCAGCTTCAAACATTGATAACGGATGTTCAAAATTGAGGACCTTTCACCAAAAATGGAAGTTAGAACATCTACGGTCTCCTGAAAATTGCACTCGCGGAAATATTTCGGTAGAATGGAATTACAGTACTGGTTGTTTTCATTTGCTTCCAGATTCGGTAGCAACAAGCGTACTTGGACCGCATCATCCAGCGTGATCGAATCAACAAGAAAGATGTCTGCATACCGCCTGTACCAGGTTGAGAATTGTTATGTACTTCTCTTGGTTACGCCACGCTCTGACGATCTGGTATCAACTAGTCGAACGAACCAACGCATGAATGTGTCTTGGAGCTATTTCACGCACGACACGGTAGCCGACAAAATTCGAAGTTGTACAACTCGTGGACTTAGCGACAACACGATTTCTACACGCGAGTTGGATAGGCTCCTATACCGAACGCAATTTTACACGCAGCTACCCAACCCGAGAGAACAAGACAAAGACAGGGCCTTCGTGTTGACACTTTTACTGGCCAGACTCAAGGCGATTACAGCGCAGTCCAGCCTTTCTTTTATACCTCGATTGTAACATATGTGAATTGTCACATAAAATGGTTTGCGTAAGCAGGCCCTGGGAGCAAGGCATAAGCAACTGAATTGGCGTCATGTCGAATCGTAAATGTTGGTAGATGCGGAGGGTGGACTGAGAAGATGAATGTTTCTTAGGTAAAAATGGTTGGACGTTTCATGATCGTGGGGGTTGGCCAGAAACATGAATGTTTTCTGAGGTACAAAGGCTAATCGACATGTGAATGTCTCACGAGTTAGAAGGCTGATTGAAAACATGTACACTTGCCTAAATCGAGTTGTGATCATTATGGAAACGTTGGGTCCCCATAACAAGAAGTTGATGCCGTTCTCTGCGTCATATTGGAAATCTTGCATTCCGTTTGCCAACGCTACAGCTGAAGTGGACTCGGTTTTCACTGTGCCAGGTGTTACATTTATGGATGACAGTTTCTCAGTGAGTGCTCGGAATAACAATGTAGGTCTTTGCTCTTGTTGAAGCATAACCCAGTTGCCCCTGGATGTGATCATGCTGCTGCTGTAGTAATTTGGTTAGCTGTGTGATCAGCCATCTCCATCGCCAGTGTTATAATTGCGGTTAGAGCCGTCAGAACAAAGACCTTCACCGCACCGGACAGGGTATTGAGCAGATCTCAAGTCACATGAAACATGCAAGACAGCCGACCATATAGGTTAAGGTGAGTGTGTTGGACATGCGGTAGCCTGATGCATATGAACTACAGTGGACAACTGGGTGTGAGTGAAGTTCACGATCAGGTGTGTGAGAGGACATTGAACTTTTAAGACACCGGATCGCCTGCCTTTCCATCTGTTCTTATTTATGGGTAGCACACCGTTTCCGCCTCTGGGGAGGGAGAAAATGAGTATGCAATCTTTCCTGTGTCGGTCATGCGTTCGGGATTGATTACCATCGAATGGAATTCACTCGTCATGCGTTCGTCTCATCATCACTTGCTGAAAGCGACGTAAATTAGATGAACAACAGCACCCGCATAATCATCTCAATCAGCGGACTCTTCCCCCAGTCATGGCGGATTTTGATACCGGATGTGCTTGGAGTTGAACACTTCGGGTTAAAGAGCCTATGTGAAAAGGCGGTTGCACGAAATTTACAGTCACCGTTCCACCCACCTATGTTGATATCCCGATAATTTCTGGCATCTAATTTTCTCCCTTCCCTTAAACAGCGGTAGCACAAGGGTATCCCTCAGTACTGCGTGCATTTGCCCTTATACCCAAATGCCTTCTACCAAATAGTGGAGCGGGTGGGTCACTGCCGACCCTTTCACATCAGTATCCAGGGGCTAGCCGCCTAGTAGTTGAGTATGTGCCCACGTCTAAATTATTCTCGCTCTGTCGGCTTAATTTTAGATTCCAAATACACTGTCAACGGCCTGTCATAGACAGGGGAATCCCATGGATTTCTCTTCAACTCTACTACTCTTGAGGCTTCCAGACACTTTTGGAAGTCAGTTTATGGCAGTAGGTACGTAGGTACTACATCAGATAAGCCAACTGGTTTCACCAATGTAGGTATAGTTACAATTTCCTTACACCCTACGAGCTCTGTTAGCCTCAAGATTTATGCTATCTAACTAGACTACGCACAGCTGTCTTCCTTGGTTGTGATGATTCCACGGGGCTGAGGTCACCTGGCACCGTTGCAGGATTGCTCCTGCAGATAACTAGTACATTATAAGGGACGAGAACTCTTGATGACGCCCATATTCACGCGGACCCTGGACAGCGTACAGTTGCTTGGGTGATAAAGCACGTCGGCACCAGCGCATAAGCGAGATATTATTTCGCAAAACCGTACTTTTGTTTGAATGCGTGTAAATTGTACTACTCGTTTAAAATTTGCTCACCTCGGAGTGATTTTTGTGCCGCTGAAATTTGTCTGCAACTGCCTACTGTATCACTTGACATTGTATGGTCATTGGTTCAGTTGCCAACCTCTTACTCAAGCGTTATGCATCTATTACTTTGGGATACTTACTCTTTGTGCTCACCGCGCCAATGGCCGATCAATCGGAACTTGTCTTCTTGCCAGTTTGCTAACTTTGTTTTGACCTTTGCTAAGGTTGTTTGTGACCTATTAACCCCTGAGTCCACTGATTGGCCATACCTCGTTCAGGGTCCGGTGAGCGCAAGCAGGAGGTTGCAATGGCTGACGCTTGCTATGCATCATTAGTAACCTAGCTTCTTGTCGGCTTGGAAGGTCAACGTACAGGTCGAGGCAACGAAATTGGACTCCTATGCCTTAGTATTCACGATTGATTTTACGGCGATTAACGCATGACGCTACAATGTCATAGTACCCCCTACTTTTGACGGAGCAGCGGACGTACAAACCACAGCGAATCCTGTGGGGAAATTTCACCTGTTCTTCCTCATCACTTCGAGTCTGAATTATGGCACTCAAAGGTAGTTTTTCCTGTAAGCTCGATAGTCATTCAACATGTAGTGTTATCTGGCAATTAATATTAAAGTTAATTAAACTTGTATGCAGTCATTTCTCATTTTCGCTCCAGAATCAGCCATCCATCTCGGAAGTCAAGGACGGCGATGAAAAAGGATGCACTCAAACTGACTCTCAAGATTCAGTCGAGCGCCCCACCGGTGGAGTCTCAATTTTCGGAGGAAGTGAGTTGCATAATGTTCCCCAGTACAGACCTGCACTTGACCTAGCTGAGCCGTCTCGTATCACGCACATACTTCAGAACGAAAATATCACGCTTCTCCTCGTCGAATTTATGCAAAAATGTGCATGAGGCCAATTTCCGCATCACCTAACACGATCTGAATTGATTGCATTCGGATCTTCAGCGCACACACCCTTGCTGTCAGGTGTGATATCATACGCGGACACGTTTCTTCTTGCACGAACATTCGCCCGCTGGGCCGCCATGATATCGGTTGGATTTTGTGGAATTGTAGATTGCACACACAATTTGTGCGTATACCTGCACAACCATTGCTCAGTACATGCTGCGTGGTCATGACTACATTCCGGTCTCAGAACCAGTTCAGTTGTCTTAGCAACGACCCAACTCAACATCGCTTAGCCAAACGTAAGCGCATAACTTTCACCACTGGAATCGATTTTCTGCCTTCAACGTATTAAGCCAGACACGTTTCTCACATGTGAATTGATTTTAAGGGTTAGCACCATTTACACCCACTCAGTAAGGCATACGCTTATCACTTACCTGTATAGCACATGAACCAAGTTAAGGGGCTTTGACGTCCTCGACGATGGATGCAACCTACAATGCAGTGACCCAATTCTCTACCTCATATGCCGACCATGGTTGACCTTAAGCCCCACAGAGTTCGCAAGCGTAACGTTTTCGTTAAGTACCCTCGTGTGTGGAACGCACATTGTATTCGCTCCAACACTCCTACTTAGAGTGTATATGAACTTGTAGGCACGATAGTTTCTAGCTCACTGGTGAACTATTTACTCGACCGCCGAAATTGAGTGGACATGGTTGAAATCGGTTTCGTAGAGTACCCGTGTTCACTTTCTACGTTACCGTCACTGCCTTTTGCATATCGCTTGCAAGAAACTGATAAACAACACAATACTTGGCTCAGTGGCACAAATGCTGGCTGTCGGTTCAAGCCACTAGTGGCCATGGGTTCGAATCCGGACAGTGGATGCGCAATACTGATGAGATCCAACAGTGCTTTTCCGGGCATGTGGAAGGCTATCTGATTTAGAAACTGCTGCGATAAAGTTTCGATTAAAAGCATATGAATGCATGTGAACTCAACTACTTAACTTACACCGTGTAGGATTTTTGCTTTGTTATTTAAGCCACGTTATGGAGCATTCGAACTGCGTGGCTGACAGCTTTCGCTCTCGAAATAGCTAACTATGATGTCCCATACTGGGCCGCACCAATGTGCCTGTCTCCAGTAGCTGCACCGAGTCATCGATGGCCTCAAGCTCATCCACAGCCTTCGTCTACTCTGCTGGGTGAGCAAATTCTGGACACGCGTACTACTGCGAACGACCCGTACACCTTTACACAGATCTACCCTATGAGCGCAGTGTAGGCAGCTCCGTAGGCCACTGCTTGCAGCCGAATTATGGATGCCAGAAGGGTGAGAACTTGCGTTACACGCACGTCGTGATGGCGCAAGCAAAGATAGAACAGAGACGAACGGATCCCGAGTTCACCATAGTGGTCTCTTGTGAGTATTTCTGGTGGTGCCTTAAGTAGCGCTCTATCCCAAATCGCATACAACTTGATTGGGTAAGAAACTACCGTTTGAGTGAGCATATCGAATCCATTTAAACGATTTTCCCCTTGTTACACGGCACAATGAAAGCCAGGTGGGTAACTGCAGACCAATAAGCCAAAACAATGTTTGCTGTCGGCTGGACCACGTTGTTCAACACTGGGTCACCTACCTAGCAAGGTGAATGGTTGGACTGAGTCATGGAAATGAATGAGCCACTTTGACTGAGCGATGGAAATTGGGGCAATTACGTTCATGGGGAACAGCTGATCTGCGTTATGGAGACGACTGACGCACAAGTTGGAACACACGTCGCCGTGCCGACAGGGTGGTCTAGATGAGGTCCACGTGCGCATACGCACATGTCGGTAGAAGCCACTTAACATTGGGGCGAATTCGAATGCAGTTACGAAGGTCGTTTACATAGCCAGCCTTCACGAGCTTGTGTTGACTACACTGTGTTAGCCACTCGAACCGAACAGACAAGTTGTAAAGGATACTCTTCATGTTTACTGAAATGCGCAAATCTCCGAGTGTTGTGCTCCTATATCAGATCTCTGGAAGACCGCTTTAAGTGTACATAAATTTGGTGAGAACATTTTGTTGCTTCTTGCACCCGGCACCGAATCTCACAAATTCGGTGACTAAGGATGACTGGTAGATATCTTCATTCCTGGACTACCTGGTCCCGCAGCTAATACCACCTGCCATTGTAGCCGGTGACGGATTGTTGAGTTTTCGGAGTATGCATCGTGCGTCTGTGTGTAGATTGTGGCATCCAATCTCTGGTTGGATTGAAACCTGCTCTGAAATTAACTATTGATCACCTCGAATGCTGTGGCATGCGTTGCCCTCAGAGCTCGGTGGCGTGTTTGGGGCGCACTTACTGATAACCACTTTGTCTCGGATTTGAGTCTCAGCTTCGGACATGTCTACCTTAGGAGTCAAGATGTTAGCTCTCGAACGACACTCCTAGGCAATTTTCACTGTCTGAGAAGCAACTGGAGTTGGCATCACTGATTCAGGCGGAATTTTGTAACTTGTTTGGAAAAACAGAATTCCACACAGACCAAAATCAAATATGCACAGAAACGAAACAAATTAACTTGTTCAGGAAGGTAAGTGCGCAATTTCTCACAAGCAACTGTGTGTTTTGTATCAGAACAGTCTCAGCTACAATCAAGTCAGTGTTTTCCGTGTCGCAGAATATTTGTCGCTGTCGCTTGTTTCACACCACTCACAGGTCCCTTGATTCTTTGAGATCTATAAAATCAACCAGGCACACAACTGGGATTCGTACTGTATCGGTGTGTTATCGTCCCACGTCAGCTTGTTTTGTTTTCCCCAATATATCACTCGTCCGGTGGGTTGACTTTTGGCTCGCGATGTGTAACATAGGAAGCTGCTATGTCGTAACTCTGAGGACATAACACAGGACACGCATGAGACCAAATCCAAATCCAACTTTGAATTCCTTACCGTTGTGCCAAGCGTTGTTCATTGATCTCGGTGGCATAGTAATCAAGGTGCCAGCCGTTAACCACTAGGCCCCGAGTTCCAGCGCAATTTGGGCTATCTGCGGCTGATGAGTCCAAATCAGGACGGAACCGTCGGTCATGGGATGTTAGTTTTGGGAGGAGAAACATCGAATTACTTGGAAGCATGAAACCTGTTGTAGTGAGCAGTGTTTAGAGGAATGATAGCCAAACGGCAACTACATTGCTGGGTTTTGAGTTATTCGCCGTGGCTTGGCCTGCGCCGCACACTCTCGTGTCCCAAGTGGACGCATGTTCTCCTCACCGCTGTGCCAAGCATTTCACGCGGAGCTCAGCAGCCTAATTAACAAGGTGTCAACTGCCAACCATTAGGTGCTGGCTTCCACTTGTAGCTCCGGTCATTTCGACTTGCAATGTCCGACCAGGAACAAAACAGATTACGGCGTGCAATGCAGAAAACATCTCCACCTCGGATGCGATCCTTACGATGCAAATTACCGAGGTTTATTTCAAAGTAAGTGGCTCTCCGAGTTGAGAGAGCGTGTCGAAATCCGAACGCACTGCAGACACTTGAACACGTGAAATATCCATTGAGTTCCTTTGTTCACATACACATCCCATCTTTCTCCAAATCTTTCTAGACTGCTGTATCTAACAATATAGCCAATCATGGGTTTTCTTTTAATCGCTCTTCGAAAATAGGCCCCTGTTTTTCATCAACTAGTTCGCTTGTGTCTGTTGCTACGGCAAGCAAGGCTCAGTTGAATGACAACTATCCCCGGTACTACCTCACTACGAGGAGTCAGAACAGTTATGGTGTACACAGGTTTTACAGCCTCCCAGTTAGTTAACTATGGTTTGGTCCATACCAGCAGAGCTACAGTTTCACTGAGCATTTGGCCTGAAACTGTCTAGCGGTGTAGGCTCCTCACTAACAACTAGAAGTCTTAAGGTTAACATTATTCTTCGGGAGTAGCGCGTCATGGTACAGATTGTTTCATTGTGCTGATTCACAGAATCTGACAGGTTGATGGGTGAAATGAGGGCCCGAATGAGAAAAACGCAGCCGATCACCTTGGATGAACTTCGTGAGGCTTCGCTGAGACCCAAACAGCAATCGCCCCTTTCACATGTCATCAAAACGAACCAACCGCACGCAATCAAATCTATTGAACGAATGGGAGAATCCGGTTCCGGCTCCGAAACTGTGGACACTTTCATCACCAATTTGACTGAGGTCAGTCACACATTTTGCTGTCTTCCTAAACGTGCTAACGTATCAAAAAGTGTTAAATTTGGAGTTTATAATATCCATGTTCCAGATATCGCCAAAATTTACCTTTTATCTTGGATAAAATTCTTCATAATTCAATCCAGGTAAGCAGCACCCAACTACCGAAGAATCACTAAACAACAATTCACCGTTCCACAACTATCTCCCAGATGTATTGGGCAATCACCAATACTCCTCCATTCTTTCAACGCGGTCACGGTTATCTCTGGGCTGCCGTGATTTCAGCAACTTACACGGCAGTATAGCCGCATATGATACAGCTTCGCCCATGCTCCGATGCTGCACCCGTAGTCACTGTGAAGTGAATATTATTAGTCTCAAATTTCCGAACAAAAGTAACTTCACCAAACTCGCCGTTGAAGTGGTATGCATCACCCCATTATCACCCACCCAGCTGTACACGGCTGCAAAATGACTAACCACATGGTACTAAAGCTAATGCAAATGGCGCGCCGCTATCCTCATCCGTGACATCAGCAGTTTTGGTTATCTAAGTGCTGTTACATTTTATAGTAGAATCCGAAACTAGTGCAGTCTCACTTCACCCCAGTCATGAAATGGAGATCAGTATGCTTCTTCGAAATGATCCGCATGTGAAAATATGTGAACGCGACAAGTCCTTAATCTGATTCCTTCCTCTATTGCAGATTTATCCTTGTGCCAGTTCCACAATTCATGTCGACCTTCACCTTGGCATGCATGGGGAGAGGACATACAATGTGCTATCGAGTCGGCAGTGACGTGAAATGGGTTACCTTTTCGTCACTGAGACATATTCGATGTTGAATTTTAGAAACCCATAGTTTGTGCTGTACACACTACTAATTTGAAGTAAACAATGGGGATGAAGTATCCACTACTGACCAGCATTCTCAGAGAACACAATCTGGGTTAGCGGCTATATAGCAACGCAGCATATAAACAACATTCACAGCATTACCATGGTGTCTGGTGCTATTTCGAGACCAACGCAGCTTCAGATTAAGAGTGCAAACCACTCCTTGACAAAAGGACGGCAATTCGTTTCCGTATATACTCTCATTTTTGAGACTCACTAGAGGTCCACAGTAACTGCTACGCTCGTGAGCATGGAGCAATGACCCCATTACCGTCAAAAGTTTATAGCTTGGCTGTATTATCGCTCGAAAGGTCTATAACACATCTGTACGGTTTTATGAAATGTATGTATCCACAGAAGGTACTGACGGGAGCTTTCTGCTACACTCTGGTTGAGACAGTCCGACGACTCATTCTGTAATCTGGCATTTTCAACCATACGCTCAGTCCCGAATGAGGCTATGCTACACATTTAACCACAGTGGAGTCTCCTCAATCACCATTGTCCTTGCTCGTTCTCACTACACTTCAAGCCAATTGAAATGTTTTACGCAACTGGATACGTGTACTTTACTCATTTACTCGATTACTGCGTAAAGCTGTCACCTGAGCAGACTCATGTTCGCCAGCAAACTTATGACGCTCGGTTAATGGAAAAATACGTGTCAAATGTGATCAGACTGCGTTACGATACGATGCAACGTATGACAATGAACTCTAAATTTCGAATTTATAGAAAGAAGCCAATTAGGGCTTTGGTGGATTATGAGATGCTGAATGTGAAAGGCCATTAAAGACCTTGTGTGAAAGTGATGCGTTGGTTTAACCGGCTGCGAAGCAAGAAGACTACAGGAAAAATCTTAAAAATAACCTCCGTCGACTGCACATGCAGGATACAACCCATTTGCAATATATCAGGAGAAAACGGAAGAACAGCATCATCATGTACATCTTTGGTATTTTGGTACTCCCAATATTTTACTCACATGGGATGATCACTTTGTTACTCTACTCGTGGACCGGCGGGTGGCCGAGTGGTCTACGCGTCTGGTTTGCAACCATAAGGTCCCCGGTTCGAATCCGCGTAGGGGTGGGCATCCTCGCGGTATACTCAGCCCGCGCGCGACTGGTGGTGGTCGCGCGGCAGCGAAGCGCCGTTACGGCGTACAGCTGGCACATTATTATTATATACTCTACTCGAGGGCTGCAGTAGTATCCACGCGTGTTGCAATTATCCTCCAGACGTTCATTTAATCGATAGCAACTAAAGAAATGACGCGCGCCTCCGTTTGCAGCTTGCTGTTGATGCTCCCTTTCTGTAGTTTTAGTGACAGCATGCGAAAGTGAACATGCGCTGGATTTCTGATACAAACGGCAATTTACCTACACTCCTCAGAGTGCCAGAAACTGAACTAGAGCCATTCTGCAACGCCAGTTAGTATCCATGTTTTGTAGAATTTCTTCCACCTCTCGCGTTTTAAAGCATGGATCCCAAAATGTTATCGTTGCATCGCCTCTTCATGGGTACTAATCGCTTTAAGATTTCTGTACAGGGGAATGAGCACTGAAGGGAAGCCAACCGAACACCATAGTCTGCAAGTGTAATGCTATTTTGAACTGTTTGCAAACCAAAAGGGCTCCTGAATGCTCGATTCAACTTTGCAGCTTATGCTGAGGAGTTCAGATGTCACACAGGCTAATTTGCCGATCGATTTAGTCTTTCAACCTTTTACTTCTTACGCTACAAGCGATTATCGACCTGGATATCAATCTACATCACAACATCTGAAAGCGCTACTAAATTATGTCGCAGGTTTGGGCTCTACTCACCCGTTGGGTATGCGAGATCGGTCTAAGTTTTCACTAAAGTTCGCTTGGAATCTGGTAGCATGTACCTGGCCTGGTGTATCTCTTCATGCGCGGTGTCACCGTACTGTAGATGTCCTGCTATAGCCTCCCGCTCTTCCCATACTGCACAGGAAAGATCCCTTCCTATCAGCATCTGCAGCTTTTGTCACGGTCGGCGGCCGTGACAGAGTAATCTGGTCACTCTCCATGGGCCGTAACTCTCTCATGAAGAAGATTTGGAGAACACTTAAAAGCCAGACCTTGGTTTTTTGTCTTAGTTCCAATCCGAGCGGATTTGTTGCATTCGAATCAGACATCGAATCCCCAAATTGCCTTTTCAACAGTATCGCCCACTCTCCTCGACTAGATCAGAAGCTCGACTAGTTCGTGTTTGTTCACTTCTGGTGGTATCTGTTTACCGTCATTTTGCACCGGTGTGCATAGCTGTCAGCCAGGAAGTGTGTTGTCTCAGCGAAGTCACAACTTACCACCACGTTCTTACACTGTGTGTTCAATGCGGTGCGAAACTTGCTGCAACAATCGCTAGTCTAGTACACTCGTCTACCGTTTGAGAGGCACGTGTTTGAGCTTGTGACTAGGCCCATCGATCGCGCTTGTTTGTTGGCATTCACGAATGCGCTAGACATCGCTATCACTAATGCTCCAGTCAACTGCTGCGACAACCAAAACAGACATCCCAGAGACGCGGTTGTGTATCATTTTTGTCATTGATCAATGAAGCGAGACTCGTGTGTTACTTTGCTACAATAAGGATGGAACTGCTGTGCACGTGACACAGGATGGTGTCAGTGATCAGCGCAAAACCTTGCGGTAAACATTTGCCAGCGCTGTGGGCCAGACTTATTTAGGCGTAACAATGTTCTTCGTATCGTGTCCTACTGTGCTGTCTAACGGCAGTGTTCCACCTGTCAGTATTTCAAACAGGTATAAGAAAGGACTTGCTATTAATTTCTTGGTGTGATAACAAATAAAACTGCCATTTAGAATATGGACAACAGCTTTTTGCGTTAATTTTACTTCGAATCTTCGAGATCGCTTTAATTTTGTTTTGATGAACGATTTCCAGAATTTTGGATATAAGGGATAAATGTCTGTTTTCGCTCCTAATTTCTTATTGCTGGCTGTGGGAGCGCACCATATTTGCTTATTAAGTGGTTTGCAGCCATCTGCACCCTCATCTATCATGCTGACAACCGTTCATCCATCGAAAAGATCAGCTTTTACAATTTTCATCCATCGCAACAGAACACTTATTTGCGTTCGCACACCAAAGTGTGTTCTCTTATTTGTATGCATACATCTTAAATGTAAGAATTTTATAAAATAACATAAACCAAATGTCCATTGCAAGGAATGGAACATTAACATTTATGTAAAAAGAATTACTCTTTTTTCATCTATTATTTGCATTTGAATTATCCCATTACAGTCTGATGGAACGCTACCCTGTGTAACCTGCTGTTTTTCATTTCAGCGCCGGGCGAAGAAACCCCCAACTCGACTCCCTACATTCCGCAACAGGCCGAGCGCTTCCACAACAATGAAGCGCGATGCTTCAAGTGAGGATAAATTGCTAGAGTTCTTCGGTCGTCACGACTTCGCGGAGTCTTCGGATAGTTGGTAAGTGATCTTCCTACTGTTCGCAGCCTAAGCACATGATAATCCATAGCCGAAAGGTACTCAACTTGTAATTATCCAATCGCGAGGTACACCAAACCAGAAATATTCTCCTCGCAAAGCCTAGACCCTAAAAGATGACAACTGTTCGCAGGTGATGGGCTTGTAGATAAAACTTGTCTACGTGTGTGACTTCATTCTGAGTTCGCTTTGGTGGTTGAAAATTATTTTTAGCCCTATGATCACGACATTCGTGGCCTAAGTGCGATCGCTTCGGTGAATAACGTTCATCCGGCCTGTTATTCTCCTTCACTTCTTCTAAAAGCCACAAGTACCTCGTTTGTGCTCACTCGTTTTCTGCACCGGCCGTGACGATCCATGATTTAACGCACTGTTAATTGTTTCATCCGGGAGTTCACCGCGTGCACGCCAAGCTGTCTTCACGTTGATGGCTTTATCACCACCACTCGATTGGCATGATGCGTACCGTGAGCTGGCTCTTGACAATCCCGTCTTTGTCACTGCATATGGGGTTATCAAAACAATCGGCGGCCACTGTAGAGACAGATTTCTATTCGTTGTGAGTAGTTGAGGTCAATATTGCTATCAGCTCCGGAACCTGTCTGCACTCTTTCACTGGGAATGGCTAGAGCAAACTGTCCACTCGCACGACTCGTTCGAATGGTCGCATACGCAGCTGTTACTACTGCTATTTATTGGGCGGATAACAGATTGACCTCGATATGTTCCACCAACGTTTCTAAAGTGACCAATTTCCTACAATGTGGACGCTGATGTTCACACCTCATGCGTGAGAGAATAAAGCAGCCTTGAATGACAAGCTGGAAATAGCTGTCCTACCAGCGAGATAACTCTATAGACGCAATCCAGTAAGTTGGGCCGGGCGTGATGTAGACGATTAGTTAGCCATACAACCCCAATGTGATAATCGCTTCGCAGCAGTGGCGAAACAACCTAAATAGGATTGATTTTCGCATTTGTAAAGTAGGTGAACGTTAACTCAAGAACATTTGATGGGATTGTGAATATAAATGTACAACCCCTTCCAAAACAGCTATTATGGAATGATCGAGCCGGCTACCCATTGAAAAACACCCTTTATCATCTGCAACAACAGTACCGTAAGTATCGTCGTGTTTAGTAATTTAGCAGACCTTCCGCTCTCGTTTCACCAATCCACCGGTTTAAGGAACTAATGCCTACTCACATGTTACCGACTGCATTATTCCATGAATCCATAAAATCCGATTCCCCTCTAGGTCAACGGACCAGCTTACTTTAGGGTATTCACCCCCCAATCAATATAGGTCTATTTTGTAAATCGGTTGCCTTGGCGTACACGGGCACGCCCAAACATACCGCGAATAGGCACGTGCGTTACTCACGTGGATAACCGGATATCCATTCGAAAACGAATTCCCGTTAATGCATACTGCTCAGATGGGTAGGAAACCTTAAGCCCCAAAACTAAGTGTATGTCCTTTCATCTAATTGCACCAGCGCTGTAAAACAAAAGCCAACTGAAGATCCGTCCACCGTATTCATGACCTTTGCGTAAATTTGCTAATTTCCTAATATTAGACAATAGCACTAGTGTACTTTTGTCAAAAGGACATTGTCTAGTAAGTCCCGAGGACTAAGCAAGATTGGGGTCGTAAAATCAATAATCAATCCATCGACAAAGTGGATTTACCACATAACCACAGGTCAATGTGCCCGCATCATTCACCTGCAGAAGGAAACTATGTACACTTTTCATGCACTGTGCTCTCTCCCAATGAGCACGGGTTTTTGTTATGTAATGCAGATTAACTAGTGTGTTGTCAGGAAGCTTTTTGATTGCTTGTATCCTGGGGTACATAAATAAAGCAAATTGGGAGAGCCTTTCGTGCTGACAAACTTGGAGATGGCGAATATTTTAGTAAAGTTTTGATCTGAAAAATTACCTGGCTAAAGTTACCCATTGACCCTTCGCGTTGGCACTGCGGTTAAGCTCTAAATGTTTGTGGCACATTTGCCTGAGATTCTTGTAGATCTGGTGCATCATCATCAAGCCACCTCGCATTGCTGGAGTCTTCAGTTTAAGCTGATATGACTGTCCATGTTGTCCTCCGTTGTTGGAACTCAAACGCATCGTACTCATCCCTTTGACATGACTGCCAGCTATGGATAGTGTGTCCCTCATGGGTCACATGTAGGCATTAAGTATTTGGAAAAGCTTGAAAGGTCGAACTATCTAAACGTTATTCACTGAAAGTCAATGTGTTTGTCATATTTCTTGATGCTATCTTGACCTGTCTGGAACAAAAGGTGATAACCTGTACGAGTACTCAGGGACTGCCTCCATGAGAAGCGTGCTGCAAGCCATTTCTTGAGACGACTCTCTTGAGTGCACTGATGGTGTGTGAAGTTTCACTTGGCCATATAAAACTGGAGCAAGTTCTGGCTCTGTGGCACCGAATCCCTTTTATCACCGCTCTGTAGTGTTTTGTACTCTCCTAATGATTGTTGACCTGCAAGTTTGGGAAGATCATCATGGAGTAGAAAAGGCGTTTGTGAAAATCGTAGCACGGCTGGGTTAAACTTCCATTGATGACATTCGACGTTCATGACACGGAGGATAGTATGAACCTTGCGATAAACCTGCGAATGACGTGATTGAGACCTGTACCTCACCTTCCGATTTTGACGTTATCCGAGGGGTCCGTGTTTCACCTAGTGAACAGAGTCTAGATAGCGGACCGCGAGCCACCGCGCTAAGCATTTCATTTCAGATGCCTATTAATTACCGCATGGAGCCTCGTTGTTTCCGATCGTCCAACAAGTTGCCTCTAGTATGCACTGGATTCATGTACGTATGAGTGTCAATGCTATGTGGTCTTGGTCGGTAGTTAACGCTTTGAAAAGTGATGCGGCAATCCCCAGCCGTACCTGTGCGTGTGGCTGTTCTCGCGTTCTTCTTGCTTAAGTCGGATGGGTTCATTGAAATGGCACCAGATATGTGAGTGACGACAAAGAAGGCACAGACCATCAGGCTTTCCGTGGTAGGGGAGTCACCCAAGTGCGCCATAGACACAGCCTCAAGGACGATTACTGAGCAATCTAAACGTCGCTTGGTCGGTGGGGTTCGGTCGTCCACCCGGATACGATTTTCTTTTACTGGAGATTCAACCTATGTGCTTTTGGTCCTAAATTTAACTGGGATTGGCTCTGCATAGGAAATCTAGGTTATGTGCCAGATCTCGAGCTCTGCAGTAGTAGATCCAATGGGGCACTTTTACCGTTCCTTGCTTACCAGACCTCCGCTGCTAAATTTTTGCGTTTCCGTGCCAGAGTTGCTGCTCATCAACGAGTGGGACAGCTTTACAGTCCGCACAGAACCTAGATGGATCGACCATGTTGCACTCCTTTCACCCTCCTTGGTGACAGGTTAGCGCAGTTTGAGTAAAACTGCTCCTTGATGGTATGGCGTGCAGGCCAAGCGCGAATGCGTTTGGCCACAGTTTCAAATTTGCAGGTGCGTCATGAATTGAGCTTCGACTTCTTAGGACCTGCTCCGTAGGCATAGTTTCGAGGCATGCCAACAAAATAAATTTGTCAATTTATGTGCGTAGTATTTGACAACACTGGTTAAACACCAACGGCGAATCACGCAGGCGCTGAAACTTATGTGGTCAGCCGGCCTCTTCTATTAGCTGCAGTCCTATTAGCTGGGGCATAGGAATGGGCACGATCGGCGGCGCGGCGCTTGTCAGGGAGAGGTTAAGCATTTACAATACAGTGAAGCGTTGAGGATCGACAGCGTTTGGAGCATGAAGGAGGCATGGAACGCGGACTACGCGCTGGAGCTTGGGCCCACAATGTGCTTATGGATACACAACTAATGGCCACAAAATAAGCTGCAGTTGCTGCACTTTACATCGGATAGTCATGTTCTGTGCCCAGCTTAATATTCCTAGCAGCACCTTTTCCATTGGGAATAAAAGTTAAATATACACCCAAAAGTGCTTTCCTTCGGGGACTTCTATAGCAGCTACGGTAAACTGGGTGGCAAACGGAGCGAGTAAACCACGAGGATTACTCCTATGATTAAAGATTAACTGCGCAGAGCTGGTAAATTCAGTCGTGATATGTGCAGACTCAGTGATGTGCACCAACATCACGAATAATAGACCCGCGAAAGAAAAACATCAAAATTGATCGACGCTACGAAGTGCTACAGTGGACGGCCACGGGACAACACCATTGTTGGGGGTTTCGCCTTCCACGGGTGCAGTTAAAGGGCTGGGTGTATTTTCTACAAAAGGTGACTGACACCACTTTTGAAGGCTCTTGTCGTGAGTGAGTCTGACCTGGACTACGAATTCCCCAACAAAAAGTTTGGAGCTACGGATGTCAAATCCAATCAACGGTGTCGGACTTAAACATTACCATGTGTACTGATTTTGCTCTGCACAGAAGCGACTCACTGACGGTACTGACCTTCACACTACCCTGCCTAACCATCTTAATTACACTATGAACGGGAATGCGGAATTCACCCGTGATGCATTACTGGTATACATCTCTCTTGGAACTCAAGCAGCCTATGAGGGTGTACAGTTCAACGGATGTCACGTGTATTCCCGGCTTCTGATTGTTTCCCGCTTGGTCGCTTCCTGCGCTCTGTCCTTCACGGCTTGACGATATCTTTGTTTTGTGTTTGCTGTGCCGTTAATCGTATTGATGTTTTGTAGCTTTGATATCTCTTGACGAAACAGATGCACACTGGCCATACATCATAATGGCATGTCTGCGCCGCTGAAATTTATTGTTGAGGGAGTACAGAGATAACAAGGTCATTTCTGGATCATCCCTTTAGCCAGCACCAATGTTACTTGCGACAACCATACGTGGTGATAGATTGTGACATGTGCCAATAAATGTCAACGAGAATCAGTAATAAACTACAAAGCACTCATGGTTCATGTGGGTGGTCAGAAACCATTGGCCTTCGGGTACAGGCTTGACACTGTCCGAACGCTTCACAGCGAATATGTGAATTAGTCTAAGCTAACAATTTATAAGATTCGGTGGCGTACCGGCACACGTTTTACCCACAGTTCTTCATGTCTCGGAAATGGTTGATGCTTAACTCGCTGATGCACACTGTTTTCGCCACTCACATTCTTCATCGAATCAAGGATAAGCACGCAGTCCGACTGAGATTTCCGGCGGCATCAGCATCTGGCGCATATATGTATATCCCTGAATTCTGAGGAACCGGTCTGTAAACAGATTTCGTTATGGGTTCCTAAGCTACCGCCGCTCGGCACGGATGTGGCTGTCCTAGACAAACTATTTTTATCTACTTACTTTGATTGGGCTAGGAAAAATGAGCTGTAGGTAATCGGCCGTTTGTGGTCGTGAAATCAACTGCGCTGTTGCATTTGCAGCGCTTGATGATTCCTGCTGTGACATCACTTACGTTTTTCCCTCGGTTTTATCGGTATTCCTAATCCAAGAAGTGTAAATGGTGATAGCATAGCCGGTTCGACACCTGTCATAGACTGCTGGGTCCCACTGCACCTCGACGGGCACGACTATTTCCAGTATCCGGGCTTCACACACAGCCGAATATTGTATTGTGGGAGCAAGTAGAAATTTAACTGTATAACCCCATCGAAATATGATCAAAAATCCTGTAAAAAGTATTTGTTACCTGTTGATATTCGAATCGTTCTTCAACTCTTAATGTAGCAGTTAAAAACGGCTGACTAACGGTATCAACGGACTCACAAATGTGAAATGTCATAGTCAGCGTACAGTCGTTCCTCGAATCGAATGGTGGTGTAGTGTAAATCCAACAACGTTTTGGACTGCCGCACAGATTTAACCTCCATGACCTGTTCTGACAGACTGTTCCAAATATTTGCTGCACTTTCTTCGAAGCACAGGGAGTGGGAACTCGCTTCATATCTTGCACCATAATCTTGTACCGGTGTCCGCATGTGCTGCGTGCGTTCACAAGAGTGGCGAAGTCACTAAGATGTAACCAGCGGTAGAACACGATCAGGTAAACTAGGGAGTGGCGATCTCATCAGACGAAGTACAAAAGCTGCATTTGGGCTCCCGACGCATGCTGAAGTAGGTCGCAGTCGTCTGGAGTGCTAATCACTCTCCAAATCTTTAGGTCGTCCGCAAACTGGACATATGACGGCTGAATAAGCTGAGGTAATTCGTTGATGTAGCTGAGGAACTGGTTGGGCACCAGCACCTAACCTTGGGGTGCGCCACTTGTAGGGGGACACCAGTCAGTTAGATGGCCGTTGGCTTGCACCCTCCACTTTCGCCAAACGAGAAAGTCCCCGATCCACCGGTGCAGTGATTCACCAACACTACACACTCTTAGCTTGTGGAGGAGGACATCATGGTTGGCCTTGTCGAACGCCTTAGCGAAATCGATGTAGATCAGGTTAACAGACTTCCCCTGGTACACTGCCTGCAACCATTCATGCCTCGTCAACAGCAACTTGGTAATGCATGAGTAGGCTATCATGAAATTTTGCTGTGCGACCATCAGCAGGTCTTTTGATTGGAACAGCTGTAGTAGACCCTTTTTCATAATCTCCTCGGCAACCTTGGGTAAAATAGGTATCAGACAAATTAGCCTGTATTTGTCTGCTCAGTTGGGGTCACCGCAATTTGGAATGGGCTGCATCACTCAGCATTTCCAATCGCTCTGCAAATGAACCCGGACAGCGACCTGGAGGCACCTTTCTTTGGTCATGTCCCCTGACGATAGGTTGCATTACCCACTCCAGCCTTCCCTCTAGTCCGTCTAACCGTTACGTTTTTTGCCCTCCACGAGTGAATCACCTGCATACTTCTGGGCAACTCGGATAACTTCCACCAAGACCATTCCCTGGGTGGCATTCACAATCCGCCATCCTCGGTTTTCGATCAAGAAACTGCCACCTATATCTATCACCTCGATGTTGGGCCAATCGGAGCAGCCCCTTATCCAGTAGGTCACTAAGGCAGACCGCGTGCCACCTACAATTATTGCATCGCGCTCTGGCTGTCACCAGGTTACCGATTCTTGCGATCAGCACTCCCTTCACACTGCCGCCACACATGTTTCCGCCCTGCCTTTGAGGTTACACCGGCCGTCACCCTCGCCCACCCCACTTTCCATACGACAGTATCGAGGACTGACCCGAGGTCCTCCGGGGACTCCCTCTCGCCGCCGTGCGTCCCCCAACCTTCTCCCACACGTTGACCGCGCAGACACTGTGGCGCACGCACGAGGCTTGACACCCTGATGCAAGTCCGCATGGTTCGGACGCTAACATGTAATAAGCATGTTCATTCGTACAGTTCATCGGTTGTACTACTTTATCTCTCAGTTCCCCTGCGCGTCTTCATGCCACTATCTATCTTCTCCGTCGGCTCTTCTCATCCTACACCAACATCAGTGGTATTTGGCTGTGCACTGTGTGTCGCGAATTCCTAGTGATTCACAACCTCCCTCGATTCTATCGAGCATGTGAGTTCTCCCCTACTACTCATTAGTAGTGCGCCAAGTAACTTTATTCAACACCGTATGCACCGGAGCACTGCTTTTTCCATTTTTCTGAGAATTCACACTGATCTGCACTAAGTTAGTGTTTGGATTTGGTCAGTGTTGACGGCCCAACACGCCGTCCTCGAAAGACCTTTACTTCACCGACCTTTGTGCATCCTTCACTGAGTCTGGTGGGAACTAAGGAAGCATGGTTAATGATGAAGGTCAGATTGGGTTAAACGGACATATCTGAACAGGTGATACAGAAGGACCCACCTCAACTAGTTTTCGAAAATTCCTCGTGCTAAACACAGTAACCCAAGCGAATCTTCGGAGAGGGAAACCTGGCCGACGCATTGTGATAATGATAACTGTTGCGTAGACAATGGTTACTTGAGCACTATAACACTATCGTTTTGAGAAAACTTGTACAAGTTAGTGTCCAGGGTTCTTGCTCCTAGCAACTTGTGGGCCAATCTTTTGGAATTGAAATATGTTGTTTTTTCCTAAAACTACATCATGTCTGTGGCCGCCCTTTTGCAATATTTGATGCGGACGATCCTCCTGATATCATGAAGCGAACGGATTTGAAAGCTTGACACCGACTTGGACTACATTACCTACGCGTTCACTGCGTTGGGTGGCGGCACTTGGTCTAGACATGCAAAATGTCACATACAATGAGACTTAAAACATACTGATCACCACGTTCGGCTATCGGATCTTAATTTCATCGGATAGGGCTGTCGCTGCAGCAGTCGCCTACCATGGTCATGATATGGTAATCTCGTTCCCAGCTGAGGACACCTTTTCTGGCACTTGGTGTATTTCCGGTGGTGGATCTCGACGTAAGGCCGTTCTGGGAGATTAATGCTTTAATGTCGTATTTCCGTCACCATGTTAGTATAACTCAATGGTCGAATTTACACCAACGGAATACCAGTCAGTAAGTAAGTTATCCGGGCGAACTGTCTAAAATTAACACATATTGTTTGAATTGCAAGGCGCTCACTATGCAACGGATATATGAGGCGTATCAGAGAAAAGAACTTAACGTGTCACATACTTTGTGAACTGATCATATTCTCTGCATCACCTTTCAGTAACAAGGCCAACGCCACGGAAACCGACTCCACGGATTTGAGATAATGTATCTGACGATGATGATGCAACATCAAACCTTCTACCTTTCGTTCGGCTAACGACGAAAGAATGACAGGGACATCCGATTACTTTCAACTTCATGCGATGGTATTTTTGTTCAAGATGACTTTGATCGTTGTTACGAGAAGGCTGTGACTCTCGTTACCTTTGCTCTCACCAACGGCAACAAAACGAACTTTAAACTCTGACTCACAGCGGATGCACATTGCTGTTACTCAAATTAATGACTTTTGCCTTTTCCAAAGCTCGGTATCTTACACGTATAACACTTGAGAATGCTGTGAATTTTGCTCTACCAGAATTTCCTTATATTTCTGTATATATGAGAACACTTACTGTTTATTTATATTTTATATAAAATTGCCCAGATATCGCTACTCGCCTTTTCAATTGAGCTAATGGGGATGTGGGTAAAGATGGCTATTTAAAGGGATAGCATTATTGGCCCCCGAAAACTCTATGACAGCAACTGTTTTATGGCCTTGTATTGAAACTGGGTACCGTTTCCGTTTGTTTTCGACCATAAGCTAATATAATGCACTCAACAAAATGGACCATGCCTCATCTGGTTCGCTGTCAGGTAAAAGAGTAGCTTTGCATTACTCGCCCCTAAGATGACTCTGCATCACATTCAGCATTCTTAGTGGAAAACATGAGGCAGCAGGTGAACGTATGACTAACAGATTAATCTTCCTAGCCGTTCGTGCCGCTTGTGAACGTAGTCAGAACTTTCCCGCTGATATAGCGAATACAATTCTGTGGTGCTGGGACTACCACTCGCGTTAATGTAAATCATGTCCAAAAATTTAAGCGCTTTGTCGCAGACTGAAACACACGGTGCTTGTGTGCTTTAGTTGACACCCTCTGCGGCATCACCTAGGTGGGCCCGCTGCAGACCGCTTGCAGGAATGGCGTATTGTTCGGTCTGAAGTCAAAGCGAGGTCATTTCAGAAAGTAGAATTTTGGCTAACAGTGTACATGTAATCAACTATACCAACCGGTTGTTTTTAAACCTTCCTGAACTCATTAGTTCTCGATCGGTTTTAAGCAATTTTCAAGATATTGGACTGTGGTAACTGTCTAACTGACTGCCCAGTCCAATATGCTATGTGCCCACTTTGTAGTGAAAGCATACAGTTGTTCGCATTGTTTCAAAGAGATTTGAATTGGCAATCCTCTCTAAGTGGCTTTGTCGCATGCACGTTTCATTCACGCTCCCTACAATTTCCATTTTGTGATGAAATATGGACAATTTGGTGCAATATGCCCAGTCAATATACTTAGCGCAGTTTTGGATAGCGAAGCCATAAGCACCTACGCTTGAAATGTACCGCACAATGATAGAGCGTCCAGCCACTGAAAGTGGCACTGGTGACGGATTCTCGACTTTGATTGTTATCACTTCATTGACACTTGTGCAAACTTAGTTCTGGGTCAACTTTTCTGCTTAAGCAATATGGGTGTGGAGTTATAAATAAGTGTTTTATTCTCGACAGTGCGAGGCACGCCTTGTGATACAACAAGGACTGGTACATGTAAAAACGGTATAACTTTGTAAGTAACATGGATAATTGTTTTCGGTGTATATGAATGGATGTAGGTAAGAACGAGCGATGTTGTGTTGCTTGACCTTGTGAATGTGACGCCGTATTTGTGATTGATTTCGGTCAGGCGTGAGAAGGAGTGAAATGAAATCTTCGTATTGAATGACCCACGTCCGTGGATTGGGTTAGATCATCCGGATACGTAAGAGGCAGTGACTTTAGCTAGTGACTAGTCGCATCCGTCACGTCACAATGTTGTCACACAGGAATTTGTGGCTTTTTATAGGGTGAACGCTTGTCAGGCGAAACCCACCACCTCCTGGAACACTGCCGCAGAACTATTTGCTGGAACTGGATAAACCCGAACCACCCAGCTGGCACTAGTTCACGGATTTCAAGCTTCTCTGATTATCATTCGCAACTCACCTGCCCACACACGTCGGGTGTCTTGCGCCGCGTTACCGACGGCCGAAGCTGAAGATCGTTCGACTGGCTCATGTGGTCTGTCTGTGCTCATCTCTTGACCAACTGACTCCGTTGCAGCGCTGCCATGCATGTCATCAAACGGTAGAGCGGAATCCATGATTTCGCACACCATTGTGCGCCCCAAACGCAGGTGCATGGGTGAGCGCATTTGCCGACCAACACAAATTGCCGATTGGATAGCCTGACAAGTGTTAGGGATGTTCGGGTTTCGTATATGCGCGCCAAGTGCATCATTGAAAGGTACGAGTCATGGCTGAATTATGAGGACCGGTCAAACACACTGTACGACCCCATACACACGCACAGACACGGCATCTAGAATAAACCCGAAGGCATAGAATCGAAGGCATACTCACGGTACATGTGATTGACTTAAAGCCTGCTGCCGTAACACGTGTAAAACTGTTGTACAATTGGGGATCACATATGTACCAGACGTACAAAGATAGGTGACTTGGCCGTGGCCCGTTCGAGTAGAAAACGCACGTTGAATTTGGCGCTGTCACGAAGGCTACATACCTCATCCCTCACCGTGCCATTCATCCTTTTATCTTGAGACCAGTCATCGATGCGCAGAGATCAGTGGAGTAAGCACATTGATAATCTATACCGCAGCGCAGCCAGATTTGGCATAACACAGCGCTATACGACAGACACAAGTAAGTTGTTTACATGCAGCCGGACTGAGTCGACAACACACGACATTAGCTTAGCCGGGGGGCAGCCGTATCGGCTACACCCACACACAGTAATAAGGATAGTGATGCATACACTGGATTACAAGAAGCAAGTTATACCGGTGGATGGGCAGACTGGTTCTCCGAACTGAGCAATTTGGTTTCAGTCATTTTGCCACCAATCGAGGTGACAACTAAGAACCAACAATTTTTGCGGCGTGGTCAAGGATTAACAATTGATTTGCAACGCATGCATCGCAGATTAATATGCAAGGTGTAATTGCGTTTTGTCATCATTGTGCTGTCGTATTCTGTTGAAGCCACAAAGCCAGAGTTGAGGACAGTTGCAACAGTACGATTGCTGATCCGTTAGTAAGTTGTCCAGATTGCAAGGGAAAGTGCTAGTATTCATGACGACAGATGCCGTCGATAATGGCCGATCCCATTTCTAAAGCTTAGGACAAGGGACAAAGGATAAATTTAGTACGGAAGAAAGGCAGTAGCGAGGTCTGTGCAGAGACATAGCGACAGTGACTATGGCATATTTGTTTGTGATCTGGTATATCCAGATCTATCTCACTGTAAAAGGGAGATGGGGTTGTATTGTTAGAACCCAAGGGGCAGGCGGTAACTTGTTTATTGTTGAAATGGCCTACACTAGGTGTGTTCGTTCATACATTGGATGCGTCCGCTCATCTGCGTGATTTCCATGGAGTGTTCCCTAACTGGTGCTTGCCTCTGTGTTCACTCCTCGTGCACATGGAATCGTAATCCTGATGTCATCTTCAACTTTGGGGAAGTCGGCAGGGCTCGCTGTTGGTGTGTCATCTTGCACCACCACACTACTTATACCCGGCGCAGTAGTATCTACCTTTAATCCACCACACTCCTCCCCCTCCAACGGATTCGCGTCAGCTGCCTTCCGTCGGAGTCTTTCTGACCGCCGGGGATGTTCACTGTACGAGCGTGTTTCCTCCTCCAATTCGTACCACTTCCTCAGCTCGCCGGCATTCACCCTCCGCGATTCACCTTGCCGAGCGATGGTATACACTGGGCCTCGCCGGTCGACTACTTCGTACGGTCCTTTCCACTTCGCTAGCAGTTTCCTCTCCCCTGGGCCGCAAGTGGGGTAGCGTTGATGGTCCCTGTACTTCACTTTCGAACCAATCTGAAACTCGATATTCCTTCCACCTTTGCTGGTCTGGAACTTCGCCATCCTCCGCGCCTGAGTCGCCTGTAGGTTGCGTTTTGCGGTCTTCCGGTTATTCCGTGTCTCCGCGGGAGATATACGGCAAGTTGGCCACATTCCAATCTCTAGGTCCACAGGTAGACGAGGTTGTCGACCGTACATCAACTGGAATGGTGATTTCTTTGTGGAAGCCTGTTTGGTTGCTCGATGGGCCAGCAACAGTAGCGGCAGCGCTTCCTCCCAGTCTCCACCTTTTGCTGCTAACCACTTCTTGATTGTTCTATTGTTACGTTCCGTCAGGCCATTTGTTCGCGGGTGGTATGGGGTGGTGCGCAATTTCTTAATGCCAAATTTCTCCAAACAGTTCCGGAATTCTTCACTCTCGAAGCACGGCCCTTGGTCTGTTAATATGGCCTTTGGGATTCTGTGAGCCGCTACCAAGTGCTTCATGACAGCATGGGTAACGGTTCTAGCCCGTTGATCCGGGATTCCTGTCTCCTCAATCCACGCCTGGTCAATGGAAACGGCCCCATCACGTCAACCGACCAAAGTTCACCAATATCCGAGACCGTTATCGTCATCGTTTGCTGCTGCATTCCTCGGCAATCCGTTTTCATGAGCTGACATTGTCTGCAAGAAAGTACGCACTTCTCAACGTCCTTTTTCATCCCCGGCCAATATGCGCGTTGTTTCAGCAGATCCTAGGTCCTGGAACAACCTGTGTGCGCCATCTCGTGACAAGAAACTACTAGATTCCGTCTTCGTTTCATTAGAATGACTGGCACCGAAGGGTTGCTACCTCCTGGTATCCACATTAAGATCCCTGCTTCGTTCACTTGCAGCTTTCCCAGGTCTTTTGCAAACGGTCCCAGCTGCTTGAGTTGGTTTTTGTTGAAGTTTGTCTGACCAGCTAATCGCGCGGTGATCAACTTGCGCAAGAGTTTGTCACTACGTTTCTCAGTTGCCAACCGTTCTGGATCCTGCTCGCACAGTATACCGTTAATACCGAAAGCTACGCTCGGCAGATCGTCATCATCTATCATGCGTGACAAGAAATCCGCCGTCTGATTTTCCCTCACCGGCACGTGTTTTATCGTGAAATCATACTCTTGTAGGCTCAATGCCCATCTCGCCAGCTTCCCTCTGGGGTCTTTGGCAGACTTAATCCACTCCAACGGTCTGTGGTCTGTTTCGACGTGAAATCGCTGACACAGGAGATATGGCCGCCAATTATCCAACGCCCAGACAATTGCAAGACATTCTTTCTCTATGGTTGAGTATCTGCGTTCCGCAGGTGTCAAAGTTCGGCAGGCATACTCAGTCGTCCCATGGTTTTGTTTCAACACCGCACCGATCCCAACATCGCTGGCGTCAGTGGCTACCGTGAACACCTCACCAGCAATGGGCAATTTCAGGGTCAACTCCTGCCTTCCCATTTCCTGTAGAATCTGATCAAAGGCTCGTTGAGCTACTGCATTC